CAATCTACACCGAATAGTCTTTATTAATATTTGAAGACACCTGTCAGACGTATTGTTATCAAAATGGTCTATCTTCGACATATTGTCTAACCCTTTTCAGCCTATTCAAAACAGTATTCATTAACATTTTATGACAGCTGTCGTACATATTGCTGTCAAAACTAAAGTAAAATCTTGATAACAGTCTGCCCTAAATGATCCCTATTAATATTTAAAGATACCTGTCACATATATCGTTACCAAAATGGTCCATCCTCTAAAGTCTATCCTTTCTCAATCTACCCCAAATTGTATTTATTAATACTTAATGGTAGCTGCCAAGATACTTTGTTATTTAAACTAAAGTTGAATCTTTACATCTACAACCGATGATCAGCCCTCTATTGTTCTTTCCTTTCCAGCCTATGCCAAATAGTAGGTACTTATTAACATTTAATGATATCCGTCAAACATATTGTTATCAGAACTAAAGTAGAATTTTCATATCCATAACTGATAGCCCGCTCTCTAAATGCCTTTCCCATTTCGGTCTACCCCGAATAGTCTTTATTGATACTTCCATATACCTGTCAGATATTTTGTTACCAAAATGTTCCGTCATCTATTTTAAATTCATTTTCAATCTCCCCCAAAATACAATAATATTTATTAATAGTTAATGGTATTTGCCAGATACTTTATCATCAAAACTAAAGTAAAATCTTCATATCCCATAGCCGATAACCTGCTCTCTAAATGCCTATCCTTCTTCAATCTACCTTAAATGGTCTTTACTTATATCTCAGGATACCTGATAGACATTTTGCTATCAGAACCCACGTAAAATCCTCATAACCATAACCGATTGCCCGTCCCGTACACGCTCGAATAGACACCCGCTTGATACCCCAGGTAAATGTAACTGTCTACCCGCGCCTATATACGGGATGCAGCATGCACGTACATCTTGGGATAGACAGGGGGTGGGTTAGGTGGGTGGGACACACAGAGTCGGGGGCTTGTCGCGAGCGTGATATCGAATTGCGTAGTCATACGTGAAGCCAGACGGATGACGCACCGATCGCTCGAGGAAATTCAGATCTCGTACTCTAGACCTCCCGTCTACGAGATTTTCCGTGAAACGTGTGTGTCGGGCCCGCCGGCTCGCGACCCCAGCCTTTCCACTGGCATTCGTAGATCATGATCCAGGGGACACGCGAGTAGAACCAGAGGTGGAGCAGGAGGATCGTGGGAGAAAGGAAATAAAAGCAGCAAGGCCAGCTAGGAGACGGGCGGGATATCCCCGTGGATTCGCGTTACAAGATCCGTTTCGTGAAATACCCACGGTTATTCCGCGGCGTATACCCCCGAGATACGATCTTATCGGGGCTCGTAGCGACAGTAATCGTTGGATAACTCCTCGCTTGGGGAAGGGTGAGGGCGGATTGCTGGCGAAGTGACCGTATCAGAGGGGGGTTTCCTGGGGGTGTTCGCCAAGAAGAATCCTCCGGGCACGGATTAGGGATAAAATGGTGCCGTGGATTAAGTGGAAGTTCGTATTCCGGGGTTCGGATTATTAGTGGGCTGGAAAAGTAAAAATCGAGGCGGCGGACGAAGTATTCTGTCTCTGTTTTTGTAATTAAATGTCGACACTGTTTGATTATAATTAATCGTATCGCCGACGACGATGGGGGGATAGGTAGATTAACGTAGCCAGGTTCTGAAGGACGACTTGTAATTGAAGTCTGCGGACGGGCGCAACTGTGCGGTTGATTCGGAATCGATTTTCTCGGGGACAGGAAGTATGTTTGAAAATTTAGCCTGTTGTCTGGTTTAGAGACGGACAGAAATTAATTTATTGGCGCGTTGTCGGCGTTGGATCTGTGCTGGGAAATTAACCCTTCCCGACCGTTGCATTCTATTTAGAATCATTAATTTACTTAGCATTTGTAACTCGTATTATGAAACTGAAAATTCAATATTGCATCGTATCGAATTGTTTAATTCTGGTGCCGTTACATGGACACATTCTTGAAAATAATATTTAGGAATTGTTTAGTGAATATTTCTTTTTGTTTATAAACAATTCTTTCGTTCATTTCTCTTTTAAGTATTCCTGTTGTCCTGATATCCAAGAAATAACTGTATGCAAAAAATAATTCAGATCGGAAAGGATTAAATGTGCACGCGATGATTTGGTGGGTACATTTATTGTGTAGTATTAGGTAATGTTACGTGTAATGAATGATATTACTGATAGGTACATTTGACTTTACTTTATGAATGGAAATTATTAACATAGCTCATTTCTTTGTTGTAAAATTACACAGTGACTCTACTCGTTTCAAGGTTCTATTTAACACAATCATAAAGCCAATTATATTGAATATTAACATTAATTAATATAGAGACTTAATGTCAGTTAAATTTCAACATTTCTTTCACCTGCATTGAAGAATAGACACTGAAGCCAAATTCATAAATAAACTTCATAAAGATGCATTTAAGTTTCTGTTAGGAAATAGTATTTATAGATGATATTTGACGGAAAAATAACAGCTGAAAGTTTTTTTGAAGAATCATCTTCAAATTCAATATAATAATTATGCATTGAATACGACATGAATGTAATACTTGTATTTTTATGAACACGTGTATAGAGTTTAGAATCTTATGAAAATGTAATTTGCGTAAACATCTACAGTTAATTTAGTAATACAAAACATACATTGAAGAAACAGAAAAATTAAAACGTAAATTAAAATATATTACGTTATATTTATATAAATTATTAAATTGTATATTATTTTATTATAACAATTGTGAAATAATTATGGATAAAATGAAAATATGTAACAGAGCATGAACAGAATAAGGAAATGTAAAATATGTCTTTTGTTTACTGAGACTTTTATTATTCTATTTTACATTCACTTTCAACTAAATTTGTCCCTAAGATGTGTGGGATGAATGGTTCGTTGTGCGTGCGTGCGTGCGTGCAGGCGACCGGATCATGTTGCGACGGACCGGCGCCGGTATGTTTGGGGAACTCGAGTGACTGGGAAGATGTGAACGAAGAGTGTTTAGAATTGAGCGATAGGGAAGTGTATGTTTTTACGAATGTAAGCTATGGATGCGAGATACAGAGTGCAAGCGAGACGAATGCAAGGGGGTGAAAGAGTATGTATATGAGGCGTGGAAGTTCGACGGGGCAGTCAGTCGCGGCCGGTTGGAAAGAAAGTGCATCACGGTGCGTTTTGGGAGAGCGAGCGTTTAAACCTGTTAACCTATTAACCTACTAACTAAAATACACTAATATAATAAGTAAAGCGTCTAAAATCAATCACCCCATTCCTCGAGAATCCTACATATGTGGTTACATACACACCTAACGCCTCTCTTATGTACATATTATTGTCAACTCTCCTAAAAGTAAACAAATTCCCGGAAGACTAACAGAGAGTATATGTATTACACCAGCAAAGTACTAAACTAAACTTCTTAGGATAATATACCCGAACCAGTCCCTCGAAGTTATGTTCTGGACTACCTAACACCTGATTTCATGTTCTTCCCAATATTTTAGAGCCGCTAGCCTAATAATCACTTCAGTTTGACTTGCATTAATAATTATAATCTATAATAATTTATGCACGCACATGAAGCCTGACAAAAAACAATTTCTGAAACTTCTTTCACAAAATATAAAATAATTTAAATACATATACTTAAATCTAGATTAAATATTTCAAAAAATTAACAAAAATGTTTTACCTGCTAATGTTTTTATTACTTTATTTACTTCAAAAGTCATTAATACTTTTAGTTACGATACAATTACGATTACTCTAATTATACAAAACCGAAATACTTGAAGAAAATTGAATAACAAATATTATTGAATTAGTATAACTTTTGAATTCTTTTATTACCGTCACAAATTTTTTTAGTATAAAGAAAACATTTCAAGAAAAAGTGGATACATGGCAATATTTCTTAAAATATGTATTTCAAAAAGTTGTAGTGATAAAATTAATATAGACTAACTGAGGAAGATAAACTGAGGGGTCTAGCGCAAGAATATGGTGATGCCGCAGTAATAGCGTTGTGAGATATTAAGGCTTTTATGAAAAGTAGTCTCCATCATAATATATACAATGTATATACATATATAATCATTATAAATTAAGGGATAATAACCAGACATCAGGAGGTGCCAGAATGAATAAAAATCCTATTTATTAACAATTTGTGGCATAGCTCCCTTTTGAACTGGACGCCTCAACCGTCGCTACTTTTTACCACAATTTTTATTAAAAGGATTTACGTCACTCTCATAAATTAATCTTTCAAATTTATACGATACTATAATTTATATGGTGTTAATAAGTATCATTAACACTTTTACTATCACATCACCCAAACATGGCTGATACGTACATTACAAACAGGCTGGATTATTCAAATACCGTTATAAAATTTTGCGTAAAATTGACATCGCAGTATAATTAGAACAAACTATCAGCCTCTATTAATTAAACGCATATAGATTCAAGATTTTTCACGTAAAAAACGAAGTAGACTGTGTCTGGTTACGTACGGCCTGTTTCACTGTGGCAGTCAACGTGTTAAAAGAAAATGTTCTTAATTCAGATTCACTAACAATTTCCATACAATCATATTTTCACGTTTTCGTTACTGGAACAAATAATCTCAGAACGTCTATTAAATAAACAAAACAATGTTTTTCATTCTAACGAGAATGACAATTGTACTATTATTACGTAGAACAATTGCTTTAGAAAGCTCGGTGCCTTCCATCGCTCATGTTTCTTAAACGAAGTCCCGGTCAACGTCCTTGATTCGCGAGGAAAGCGTCGCCCGTGACGTGGCTTTATTCAGTCGATTCACAAAGACTAGCAGGAGGGAAATGTGTTCTACCTGGTCGTTGTCCGGCTGGACGGTACGGCTTTTTCATAATTGATGGACCGATTGCTTTACGTTCCCGTTCTATTTTCCAGGACTCGACGCTGAGCTGTACTATGTCAAGGAGGGGGTGGTCAATACATACGCAATGAACTTCGTCGTTCCAGTGGCAGCGTCCGTTGCGGACCTCGAGTTCTCCTGGCAAAGCCTCGTCGGACATCCGGTGAGTACACATCCGAAAGGTCGCATTAAACAAAGACTAACAATAAGTAACCTTAGTTCTTCTCTGTTTATATAAGTCTATTTACAGTCGTGTCAACTACTGTTGCTTATTAAAGATTTACAGTGGAACTCCGTTTATATGAAGGATATCTTACAAGGGACATCACTCAAGTGTAACACGCTGATTTTGATGCCGTTTAATACAGAGATAGTATTTTGAAAAATATTTAGCACGTATTTTGTTCGTAGCTACTGACATTCTCAGCTAGGGGGTAAAAACAGCCCTCTGTCGTGAGTGGAAGGTACATTTTTCTTAATGTCTCGCAAACTATTCGACTTAGAAAAGATATTTGTTCAGCAAAATGGTATGATTTTTAATAATAAAAATATTTGCTTGAGTAGTTTTTCGAAATACTGAAAAATAAAACATAATTGTTTAAACGAGTTTGTATTTCGAAAACCACTTAAACAGTTGCTTTTATTATTAAAAGTCACAAAAGTTTTGTTAACAAATATCTTTTCCAAGTCGAATAGTTTGCGAGATATTAAGGGAAATGTATTTTTCTCTCGTGATATTGAGAGCTGTTATCACCTCCTAGATGTGAATGTCAGCAGGCATAAAAAAATACGTGTAAAATATTTTTCAAAATACCGTCTCTGTACCAAACGGTATTAAAATCGGCGTGTTACACTTGAGTGATATTCCTTGTTATGTAGTATAGTGTCTGAATAATTCAACTCTGAGCTCCAGTCGAGCGTAAAATCATAGGTGTTGGGAAGAAATAGCTGGATTTGTATTATTATGTACGACCTGGTTATATGAACAAACTTGTTCCCCGGCAGGTTCATATAATCGAAGTCCTGTTGTATTTCATTTTGTTACATTTTGTTTAACACGTTCGCTGTCGCCGTATAGTTTCTAAACCATTCGTCACAGACCACATTGGTGATTCATCATTCTCTTCAGTGGAATGTTTTTACCTTCTTGATTAGATATTACAAAGACATAAAACAAAAATAATGAATAACATAAAATATACAGTGGGTCAAGAAAGTATTTGTACACTTACAATTATTGTAGTACGTTTATGATTATTTAAGTTGCACATTATAATTAATATCTTGTATGCATCCCTTTTGCTTCAATAATGGCTTGTAGCCTGCGTGGCATAGATTCTACCAGTTTTTGGGTTATTTTACGCGTTGTAAATCAGTCTTACTAGATATTTTTCTTCTTCTTACTTCTATATCAAACAGGTGCCATAAATTTTCTATAAGATTAATATCAGGAGATTGTGGTGGTGTAATTAATTGTTTGGGTATTTTTGTACAACAACCATTCTCTCGTTTTTTTTAGCGGTGTACTTTGGATCGTTGTTTTGTTGGAAATAATAAGTTTCATTTTGATCTAATTTCACTGCACTTTCATGTAAATTATTACGCAACACCTGGATGTACTTCTCGGCATTTATTGTTCCCTCTATAAATGCAATATTTCCAACACCATTGTACGCCAAACAGCCCCATAGCATCACGTGTCCACCGCCATGCTTAACAGTTGCTTTAAGATTTTTTTGTTGAAGTTCAGTATTGGGTTTTCTCCAGACGAATTTCTTCCCATCCGAGCCAAAAATATTGAACTTACTTTCGTCTGAGAAGATAACACGTTTCCAAAATTCGATCAGTTCATTTAAGTAGATTTCAGCGAAACCTAGCCGTTTTACTCTGTCATATATTTCAGTAGAATGAAAAACGTTTGTAATAGTTTGGGGACACACATCTTCCCTGTTTTTGACGCGACACCATTGCATAGTGTTCGAGCACTTACACATGGATATTTTGTAGCTTCTTTAATAATACTCTGACGTTTCCTAAGTGTAAATATCTTCGGCCGACCTGACCTTGGCTTATTCACTGTAATTTTCGTTTTCTCTTACTTTTTAACAATATACTACACTATTCACTATCTATCTATATGTATATGTATAGTACAGAAGATAGGGTATTCCATTTAAAAAAACAAAGTCGACTACCAAATTTCCTAAACACCTCCACTTATAAAGGAGTTCTGTACACCCACGATGTCCCCTTTGATACTATGTTAATCTGTAGAAACAATTTTTTGTACAACGCATAATTCAGAAGCTATTTGAGATGATCAAATTAGGTGTCTCACCCTGTATATATTCTTGGAGATTGTAAGCGAAGTTGGTAATATAATCAGGTTTTTGTTTCGTATGGTCAAACTCAGTTTCTCAAATATTTCGCACTCTATTAATGTCTGCATATATCTACTATCGTGAGTTGAGTTTCGTATATTTTGCACTAAGGTGAATTTGCCTCATTTATTCTATAATTATGAGTTACTTGTGTGTCTCCCATTATTCGTCTTCCGAGTACATATACCTTTATTCTTGATATACGATCTTAGTTCTTCTTCAAACGGTCGAATTTATTTACGTAAATTTGGGTAACTTATGATGATGAAGGTAGAGCCTATTTGTAGACTTTCTATCACATTGAGGGCTGTAATTGTGGAATCTATTACCTATTTCACAACTAAGAAAAGATAGATAGATACAAAGATAGATACATAGTTTTGTTCATTTTTATTGTTAACGTATGGTGATTGATTAATTCACATATTCACAATGAATGAATTACATATGTTGATTTTATCAGTTTAAAATCAAATAACTGCATTAAAAGGAAAGAAAGAAAATATGTACAATGCCTGCCCACACCTTCAAAAGAGAAAACCTATTCCAACCGTTCCATCTCAGGCGGTCCACCCTTGCACTCATTCCATCACACACCCCCATCTCTTCCACATTACACCTCTTCCACTGACGATCCTATTCCTCCTCGCCACCCTCTAAAAAGAGATCCGTCCATTTTGCAAGTTATAACGACCTTTCAGACCTTGATACACTCATAATCGTGCAAGGGTTGCCGGCGCTGCGTATGTCCCGTGGAAAACGCTTGCGCCGGCCATTAGCGAGGTGCAACAATGCGGAACAAAGTAAACACGTGACTCGGCCGAAATGGTAACTCACGGGCGTGCTCATTTGCGTTCCATATAGCAGCCAGGGGCGTATAGCTGCGTGTCCGTGACAGGGGAGTGGAGGGGGGTAGGTTTGTCGAACAGAGGGGTTACAGGAAGGGCTGTATCAATACTCTATCAATATGAAATACAAACAGCCGGTATTCGAAAAGGGAGAAGGAGGAAAAGGATGGCTGATATAAACCGTGCGGTTCGCTGTTGCGTTCCCTTCGGTCACCAAGGAAACCAAGCGCGCTCCCTCATACCCCCTCTCCCAGGAACCCTCCGGAACGATCACCGAGGGAAAACGCGAAAAGTCGTGTGCTTCTTGTCCCCTTGTCCCCTCCCTTTTTCGTAGGGGGGTAGGAACGATGAAACGTCAAGGAAATCGGGCCTACGTGGTCGTCGTTACCCGCTTCGGTTGTCGTGAATTCCGTATTAATTTCTCACGAGGGAGGCCACCATCACCCCCACCTCACCCTGAACGACTTTATTGCCGGACGTAATTGTCGGCTGGGTGTCTTGAACGACGCGGCAGGGGTGCACGGTTGCTTATTAGCGGTAATTGAATACGATGTTCTTTAACCGTACGGAGTTGCGTGAAGGAAACAATTATGGGCACGATAAGCAGCGTGTTATTTTGGTGGGCGGGGGTGAATCTGAAGGGGCGTCGATTAATTTGTAATTTGATTAGACGCGATGTACGTGGGAGTGGATGAGTAGATGGTATGCTTAGAATTATTTTGTTGTATCATCGGCGTGTTCGGAATTCCTGTTATACGGTTCATTGTGGAATGCAAGGTTTTGGTGGTACAGTCGTGGTGGAAAGTAAATTCACGACCAGCCGTATTTAGTCATTTTGTCATAAAAAAGTGATATTTCTCGTCAAAAATTTATGTATACAATATACAACACATGCACTCTGCTGAATGTCGAGTTTTGTCGATGTTCCAAAAGGGATAGTTCGGACAGGGTATGGTAGTAAAATTTAAAAATTGCTCAATTTTCTATTTGAAATATTTCTGGTGGTTTTTGATATCAATGATATCGATTCGGAAATTAGATTTAAAATTTCTGTAGACTACTAAACCGTCTTGCCAATCTAGAAGTGCATGAACAAATAAACATACAGCAAATAAAAATAATATACTTCCTTTAGCATTACCCATAGCTAAGGACGTGGAAAATTTAAATCAAACTTTTTTATTTTTGGTTTCTAGTTACTTCTTTTAGTTCAGTATTATTTGTTCACATGGTTTTTGTAATTGTATTCCTGTTTCATGGTAATGTTTCTTCCTAATAATAAATCTCAAAGCATTGTGTTAATGCATATACATACACTCATGCACACATACAACATATATTTATCGTTCAATGTTTATTAATAGTCGCTTAAGTATAAATTAACTTAAGTTCCCGAAACGGATACTTCTGGCAGCCTAAAGGTTAATACAGTATTTCGCAAAAATGGTGCTAAAATAAATGGTGCACACGCAGCGAATCTTCAATAGATGACAAAAGAGAGGCAAAAATATCTCGTTTCACAGCAATATAACGTTTACCATGGGTTCCTAAATTCGAACAGTTTAGGGGGAGCGTTATGTTTCATTCTAAAGCAAGCGATTGTCTGGTTTTAGGAAAAGTTTGGTTGGAAAACTTTAGTATATAATTACGGTTTCGAAAATGATTAACTGTACAGTTTAGATCGTATAACTTTGAGAATTATTTTTTCCGTAACTTCAATATTCGTTGCTTTGATGTAAACACTTTCTTGTCGTAATTTATTTCTGCGCGTAATTGTATTATGTTAGTGACATGAGGACAGATAGACGGTATAAGTTTTTACATACACTTACTGACGAAAACTAAGGAATGAAACAGTGTTTATGAACATTATATCTTTTACTCGTATTTATATATAATTAATGAAACGATTTCATGTGCCCTTTTCATGTTTT